CAAACAAAATGACAATAAAATAAGTAAAATAAATTAACCAAAACAAATTACCAAATCACATCAGTTCGAATAGACGAAATAGAATAAATAAATAAAAAATAAGAAAACAAAATCAATGAACCGAAATAAATAAAGTAAATATTAAACAAATTCACAAACCATTATGACCAAAATATTAGTTAGACTATAAAAATCTAACCAAAAATCCGACGAAAAACATAGCTATAACTGTTATATAACGATAAAAAGTATTACGTTACTTAAAAATCGAAAACCGAAAAGAGTAAATAAAAATATACAGTATAATAAATAAATAATAAAAAACAAGTAAAATAAATTAATCTTAATTAATCCAAATAAACTAACAAACCGATCCCGATAAATTAACCGTTAGAAAAAAAAAGTAAAGATAATCAATCCAAATAAAAAAATGAAGTAATAAACAAAGTAAAAACTGCTCCCGTCAAAATAATAGTTAGAATAAACTAGAACAATCAACCCCAAAATTGAATAAACAGCTTTAATTATCTTCCCAAATCAAACCAAAACTATTGAATAAGGGATATAAACAATTTTTTACTACGTTAATAAAAACACCGATTAATATAAAAGTAAATAAATAAATAATAATATAAGATAAGAAATAAAACTAAAAAATAAATAAAAACAAGCAAAATAATTTAACCCAAATATATAAATAAATAAATAAATAAGTTAATGACTTCCGGCAAAATAACTGCAAAAATAGACTGCCCACAATGCACCATTGACCCGTATAGCCGGAAAAAAAACACTCGTGGCCTGACGATTACCTCTAGCATGAAACAGCCTGTCGCCTCTTAGTGTTGACTTCAATGTTCACTTTTATACACACACACACACATATATATATACACATACACATACATATATATATATATATATATATATATATATATATAAATTAATTTGTATATAAAAAATTGATTTGTATATATATTTCGATATATTTCACTAAATATATATATATATATATATATATATATATATATATATATATAATACCTTGTTGTGTAGGTGCACCCACAACACTCTAGATGACCATAGCCTCGAAGCTATGGGAAAAACTGGTTGGTCACATCCGATTCCTCAAATCCAAACTTCGTATATCACAAGGAACGGCTATTCTCTGAAGGGGGTGCATTGTTATGAACACCTTTTGGGAATTTACGTCCACCGATGACGTAAGCAAAACAAGATTTTGAACGAAAATTTTGAATGTGCTAAAAAGTATTAAAAAAAATTAAAATAATAAAAAATACATTGGTCTTTCCTCTTCAACATTTATGTCGAATTACAGTTCTTATCATGGCCATCTCATATATCAAGTGATAGCTCTCTTGATCGAGCCATCTTTTATGCCAATGTTTGTTGTTATAACAAACATTTTGACTTTACAACTTTGTTAACATCAAGTATGAGACCTTTTTCATTATGCATTGCTTTTTTTCTTTTTAGTGAAAAATGGATGTACCTAATATTAAGCATTAAAATTTCAATGTTGTACATATATTTCACTAAAATATATTTCAAAAATATTTTACTGAAATATCTGTAAAAAAATGTACTGACCGTGTTTGGAATATATAAAAAAAAAACTGTCCGTTATCAAAGGAACAGAAATGAATAAATGTAACGCCACTTCATGTTTCTTCTAAACTCCGTTTCAAAACTTATTTTTGAATTTTCACAGAAAGATGCTAAGTAGACATACCTGTTAATCCATTTTAAGGTGTTAATTAATCTATCCTGCTTTTCTGTTTGATATAACTTTAATATATTTCTATATATTAATAAACTAAAAAAATATATTGTCTTTCATTAAGAATGAGAGAGAAACAAATATTGTCAACATAAAACATCTTTTGTAAAAACAAAACTCATCAGCACTTGCCTAATTTGTATTTGATTATCTATTGTGCTAATTGGGTGTATTTGCAATCTTGCTGCTTAAAATGAGGTTTTTTTAAGTAGTAAAAATTTCTGAAAATGTGTACTTGTGTATATATGACCCAGTTTTTCCTTTAATTATAGTTCAAAATTTCTCATTTCATACACAAGAAAAATCTGATAATCACAATAAACAATAAAAGCAAATCAAATGAAGACGTTTAGCCATTGTGTGCTTCTTCTAATTTCCAATTCAAAACATTAAATATCTTTTGTATAAAAATCAGCAGCACCTGCCTAATTTGTATTTCTGTATAATACGGCCCCCAATTTTTTCTTTTAATTATAGTTTCTTTTTTTTTGCTCTTTTTGTATGAGATGACTTTATTATATTTCTATATATTAATAAAATATAGAAATAAAAATATATTGTCTTTTATTAAGAATGAAAAGAGAAACAAATATTGACAACATTAAATATCTTTTGTAAAAAAAAAACATCAGCACCTGTCTAATTTGTATTTGATTATCTATTGTGCTAATTGGGTGTATTTGCAATCTTGATGTTTCAAATAAGAGGTTTTTTAAGCAGAGTAAAAACGTGTGTTTGTGTATAATATGACCCCCGACTTTTTTTTCTTTAATTATATTTTTTTTTTGTTTGAGATGGCTTTATTATATTTCTATATATTAATAAAATATAGAAATAAAAAAAATAGTATCTTTTTATTAAGAAGGAAGAGAGAAAAGCTTATATAAAAAAAGAAAATCAAAATATAAATTTAATATTGTGAGCAAACCTGTTCTAATTTGAAACATCTGTGAATAAACGGAGGAATATAAATGCACCATCTCAAACCAGAAGAATGGCTGCTTGGTCAATAAATGTAAAATGTTTCATCTTACCATTACTATAATCATTGGTTGGGGATTTTTATTTTAAACTTTGACATTTCCCGTTGTCAGCCTGTATGTTTTCTTTTGACAAACATCTCATTTGTAACATGCAACAAAATTTGCAAAAATGTGTGGGAATAACGAAATTCTTTGCCACACAGTTTGTTGGTTAGGCTTCTCCAATAATTTTCTCCAATGTATTAACTTACAGCTCTTTTGATGGAGCCATCTTTTATTTCAAATTAGAGATCTTTTCCAAGGGCCATTTTTATTTCAAATTACAACTCTCTTGCTGGAGCCATATTATATTTCATAATACAACTCACTTAATGGCGCCAATCATTTATTTTAAATTTTAGATCTCGTGATGGCTTCAATCTTTTATTTCAAATAACCGCTCTCTTCATGGAGCCATTTTTTATTTCGAATTACAGCTCCCATCTTTTATTTCAAATGACAGTTCTCTTGGTAAAACCATCTTTGCTTTTAAATTACAGCCTTCTTGATTGAGTTATCGTATATTACAGCAATTTTATGGCTCACATGTTTTATTTCGAATTACAGCTTTCTTGTTGGACCCAACATTTATGTCGAATTACAGTTCTTATCATGGCCATCTCATATATCAAGTGATAGCTCTCTTGATCGAGCCATCTTTTATGCCAAATTACAACTCTGTTGTTGGAGACATGTTTACTTTAAATTTTGAAAACTCTTGCTAGAGCCAAATTTCCTTTCTTTTAAGCGCCATTGTGTTTAAGAAATATGGCTCCAGCAAGAAAGCATCCAAATAAAAATTTGAAGGCTTTCTTACTGGAGCCATTTTTTTTCCTCTCGCTTGCCACTTTTCAGTTGAAAACCCTCTTACTCTATGTTTCTATTGTATTGAATATTCCCTTGTTTAAGCCATATTTCCATTCGAATGACTACTCTCATGTTGGCTCCATGTTTACCGTGCCGTGCCCCCCTATTTAACCATATTTCCTCTCATTGGGAGGCACGTTGGAGTAATGGACAACTGCTCGGTTTGACGAATCGGTGAGCAGTGTTCGAATTCCAGTCAAGTTCATTACATTCACTTATGTACTATACCCTTGGGAAAGGTATGAGTCAATCTCTTCTCCTTCCCTCACCTATGGGTACAGTAGCGGATCAGAATCCGATAGCCTTGTGTGTTAGCCAGTCCAGGAGAATGAAAATTTGAATTCAAACCAGCCTGCAGAGGGTTGTGCTCCGTTAGGCTCCCTTGCCCAGGAAATACCACTGATGTAACAGCTGCATTATATTTTGTGTTCAAGCGATACAAATGGGTAACAGGACTCGTGATCCTATCATTTGCCCTCTCTCTTGTTGGAAGGCAGTTTTCCTTTCAACTGAGGGCGGTCATGTTTTAGCTCTGTTTTGCTTCGATTGAATGCTCTCTTATTGGTGCCATTTTATTGTTCAAATATCAGTTCCCTTTTTTGGCCTATTTTACCATTCAACTCTTAGTTCTCTCATTGGAGCCATTTTACCATTCAGCTATCAGTTCTCTTGTTGTAATCATTTACCATTCGTCTATCAGTTCTTTGTTGGGGCCATGTTTTCTTTCAATTGACAGTTGATTTGCTTGAGATTGCTTTGCGTTCAATCTTCCTCAGGCACCTTTTCGATTCAGTCTATTCTATGTTTCAAGAATGCAACATACCTTCATTTTCTTTTACAACTTGATCTGGGAAAATATGTAATTGATATAAATAAGTTAATGTGTAAATTTTCGGCAGTTTTATTCTCCGGCTTTTTGCATTTATCTGACTTTGTACTCAGTAACATTGGTTGTTTTTGTTTACTAGCATATCGATAACTACGGGTTATTTAATGCCGAAATAGAAATATTTTGCAAGCAATGTTATTTATTTATTTTAGATAATAATAAAGTGATACAAGTCTTAATAATTAACAAGTATATTTGCGTGTAAGTAAATATAACGAAAACAATGCGTCTATCCGATTAACAATTCCGAGCCATTAGTCATTATACCACATGCAAATCTAAGCCTGCATCATTTGCCATTCACGGGTGGGTCACCCATCTATGTACTAGCAAAGCTCTATGTTGCTGAACTTTGATCATCGTAAGGGAACCGGTGGTTTAATTTGATGTGATCGTAAACAATTCCGCTCGTACATCTAAG